CTCCACAGCACACCTCAGCAAAGGACAAAAGCCCATTTACTAAGGGGAGAGCTTGTATAACAAGATAAGATGATGTATGGAGGCATCTCCCAGTGCCTGGTCAAGTTGGGTGCTAAATAAATGTTAGCTCTCTTTTGTTCCCTCAAGAGATGTGAGGCTAATAGAATTTTGAGGGGTCATCGGTCTGAACTCTGTACAATTGCAAAGAGCTGCGCTCCGCAGCAGGAAGTGCTGAGGGACAGGCACAGTAATTACCCGATGCCTTAACATTTCCACAGGCCTTCCTTCCACTGCTTTGCTGCACCCCAGCTCCTAAGTTATTCCCTTTTCCTTAAAATTTAGGTGGTCAAGAGGTAGGCAGGGTAGGGTTAATTTGAGCCTCTCCTATGAGCTATTTATTAAATGTTTCTTTGTGATCTTAAATTAGCATTTCATTTGAATAATTGCCCTACTGCTGTTTTATTTGTCCTGCGTGAGAAATGTCATTTGGAAGTGAAAGGCTACTGATGGGATATTGAACATGTGAGAATTTTAATGACCGTGGTTTTTGCAAAAAAAACAAAACCAAGCATGTGGAATCCTTACATTATTGATGATATTTTTGCTGCAGTGGATTTATAAATAATACATGTTTAAAGGATTATTTCCTTCACATTTCTGTAGGGACAACCACAGAGTCTTCTCATTTTGAGTTTAAAGAGAACTGACAGTTGAAGACAGTTCAACAAAATGTTCATTCGTGTCGTTTCTGTTTCAAAAACCCCTCAACCTTCAAATAGGAACATGACCAATTTTATATAACCACATCAAATAGTCTCCCTTATTTTTATAGCAGAATGAGGCAATGGCTTTAAACAGTATTAATAATTAAAAGTTGCATTAAGCAGTACCATTTATTTATTCATTTATTTTGCCAGAAAACCTTGAAAGTGAAGTCATCTTCTATGGACAAAAACAAAGGCAACCCAAGATTGGTCTCTGAAACCTACCAATTCCTGATACATGAATGCTTTACAATATGTAATTTTAAAAAAGGATGATGGGGAATGACTGGGGCAGATCTTGGGGAAACTATAACACCAGCTGTGGTTACCCTCCACCTACGGTTGCCCTTCATGCATTTGAGAATCCATAGGGATTACAGGCATACCTCATTTCATTTTGCTTCCCTTTACTGAGCTTCGCAGATACTGTGTTTTTTACAAATTGAAGGTGTGTGACAACTTGTGTGGAGCAGGTCTAGGGTACCATGTTGCTGACAGCAATTTACTCACTCTGTTTGTGTCACATTTTGGTAATTCTCATGATATTTCAAACTTTTTCATTGTTATTATATTTGTTATGGTGAGCTGCCATCTGTGCTATGACTCTCTGAAAGCTCAGAAGATACTTAGCATTTTTAGCAATAGAGGATCTTTAGATTTAGGTATGTGCATTTTGTTTAGACATAATGCTATCACATACTTAATACACCGTCATGTAAACATAACTTTTGTATGCACTGGGAAACAAAAAATTTATTTGACTCATTTTATTGTGGTGATCTGAAACCCACCCTCAGCCATGTCCACGGTGTGCCTGTGTGTATCACATCTTGTTTGGTATGTGCCTGGGCACGGGGCTGAGGCTTCAGAGCCAGAGTGTGATCAGATTTATGGATTTGAAGACAATGAAGGCCCGTGGCTTCTTCCTTTCTCTCTTTGGAACTGGCCAAGAGGAATGGGGGTGCAGAGATGCAGGCAGAGAGGAGAGGGAGAAAGCGGGGCTCTTCCCTCTGTAAGCCCGGGGCAGCCCACTACCCTTCCTGCTGGCTCAGAGCACATCTAAACCAAAATGAATTACTAGAATATGAACATGAAACACTACCCAGAAACATCAGTAAAAGACAAAATGTCTTTAATTCTTTCATTTCTTGAATTTGAAAAACAGTTTAAATTTAATGTAATTTAAAGATTCCCTGTGTATTTGGTTTTAACTTCTGTCTCTGCAATTTTCAAAAAGGGTTTGAAGCAGGTTATAAAAATAAACCCACAATTTGATTACAAAACTCAAAAATTTTTCTGTTGATGAGGGGATAGTTTAAAAGTGTACTTTGAGTGAGAGAATTTCCTTACCAGCATTTAAATATACTCTTCTTGCAAGTTCAGGTCTGAGAGCTACCTGTGCTACCTAGTGGTACTGGTGAGAGAGTGAGTGAAACATCACATGAAGATGGTAGGTGGAGATTAAATGGTTTATGTTACTGAACTGAATCACATTTGTCTGATGAGGACAGGGCTGAGGGAGCATAAGTAACTCCCCCAACATCCCCTGAGTGAGTCAAGGCCAGAATCTAAATCCAGGTCTGACTCCCGTGTATATCCTCTCCTTGGCAGTCTTTGCCTGTGGTGAGGCTGCACTGTGACCCCCACTTATAAGGTCTTCCCATTTCCACTGTGCACCTGGACTCCCAAGGACAAATCTAGCAAGCTTTTGGAAGAAACCAGGGCTGATTTTGGGTGCATCCCAGAAGATCCCTCCTCCAGTGTATTCTCTAACATAACAGGTGATGGCCATAGAGAAGAATGTTGTATAAAACAAGAGACGTGAAACAAGTTTCTTTAAAGACTACAGTGTGTGTCTATTCAAAAGTAAGAAGAGCAAATCAATTAAAGCGTGAGCAGTAGGAATGGTTGAGGGTGGTGCCTTAATGCTTTGGAAATCAGCCGACTGGATTTGGGTTTTATCCTAAGGATCGGTGAGGCACTGCCCCATTTGGGGTGTGAGGTGGCATTTTATCTGTCACAGTGAAATGTTGCCTAGGATTTTTCTCCTTACTGCTTAGGTTTACTCCATTCTCCACAGCACACCTCAGCAAAGGACAAAAGCCCATTTACTAAGGGGAGAGCTTGTATAACAAGATAAGATGATGTATGGAGGCATCTCCCAGTGCCTGGTCAAGTTGGGTGCTAAATAAATGTTAGCTCTCTTTTGTTCCCTCAAGAGATGTGAGGCTAATAGAATTTTGAGGGGTCATCGGTCTGAACTCTGTACAATTGCAAAGCGAACTGTATTTGTGATGATGTCATAGAACGACTGGACGGGGAGGCCCTGAGGGATCATCTCTGAGGTTAACTCCTTTCCCACCTAGCTTTACGGAGGTGTAATTAAGAAAAGAAACTGTATTTATTTAAGGTGTACATGGTGATGCTTTGATATACGTGAACATGGTGAAATCTTACCACAATCAAGCTAATGAACACACCTACCACCTCACTTAGTCACCATGTTTGTGTGTGTGCAGTGAGAACACTTACGGTCTACTTTCTTAGCAGTTTTCAAGCATATAGTAACTCTAGGCACCATGTGGTACATTAGATCACCAGCACTAATTAATCTTATAACTGAGAGTTTGTCCCCTTTGACCAGAATCTCCCCGTCACCCCACCCCCCAGCTCCTAACAACCACCATTCTACTCTCTGTTTCGATTAAGATCAACTATTTTAGATTTGACACTTAAGTCAGGCCATGCACTATTTCTCTTTGTCTGGATTATTTCTCTTAGTGTAATGTTCTCCACATTCATCCATGTTGTCATAAATAGCAGGATTTCCTTTTTTCTCATGGCTGAATAAAATGCATTCCATTCCATTCCATGTATATGTACCACAGCTTTTTCCTCCATTCATCCACCGATGGACACTTAGGTTGTTTCCATGTCTTGGTTACTGAGAATAATTCTGCAGTGAACATGGGAGTGCAGGTATGTCTTCAAGATACTGATTCCATTTCTTTTGGATATAATCCCAGATGTGGGATTGTTGGATCACGTGGTAGTGTTCTTTTTAATGTTTTGAGGAACCTCCACATGGCTTTCCAGTGGCTGCCCTAATTTACATTCCCACCAACAGTGCACGAGGGTTTCCCTTCTCCACATCCTCTCCGGCACTTTCTATGCCTTGTCTTTTGGATGGTGGCCATTCTAATAGCTGTGAGGCTTTGATTTGCACTTCCCTGATGATTAGTGATGCTGAGCACCTTTTCATGTACCTGTTGGCCATTTGTGTGTCTTCTTTGGGAAAATGTCTATTCATGTCCTTTGCCCATTTTAAAATTGAAGATATGTATACATTTGCTATCGAATTTCATTGAGTTTCTTATAAAATTTGGACACTTACTTTTTATCAGATATATAGTTTGCAAATATTTTCTCCCATAGGTTGCCTCTTCATTTTGCTGTGGGTCTAACTTCTTTTTAACCAACACCAAAACCTGAATGGAAAGCCCAGTTTATCAGAATCCTATTGACACTAAATTTGTAGAGGAAAGAGAAAATTATAAGAAAACCAGTTGATAACAAGAATGTTTAAATGAACAGAACTGTCCAGGTGGCCTCTGTTTTAGGGCTCACCCCTCTCATCCTCAGAAATCTCTAGTCCCGGATGGTGACCGCTGACTCAGAAGACAAGGCACAAATTAATTCCAATCTCTCGAAGCCACACATAGAGGACTGTGACAGGAATGGGGACTCATATTTTAGAAAGTTTTCTAATAACAAGATTAAGCCTTGATTTCCTGGAGAACTCAGTGAATCAGAATACACAATTCAGGACCTAGTATAGGCTTTACCTATAATTGGAGGTCAATAAATGTGTTTATTCCCTTAAGGATTTATGGTCCAGACTGCGCTACGAAAAGGTGTACTAAGCCACGGCCCGGCTTTTCTCCTCCTCTCCCGGTCCTGTCTGCTGGCTTCCTCCTGGCTTTTCTTCACTGGTCTTGCACGAAAAGAGCTCTAGGGTGACAGTGAAAGTGATGGCTCATCTGACACTGGATGGAGTCCTCATCCGCCCTTTTTGTTGGTGTCCGTCTCTGCTCCCGGGAAGCACCGCGGTGCCCGTGAGTGTTTTCATTGCACAGGAGACGCACATAGATTTCAGGAGGACTCTGATTATTTAAAGGTCTGATGCACATGACTGTCTGATAGCTCTTTGTTTTCCACAGTCCTTTGACTAGAAAAAGAAATCAAACTGTGTTTGAATCATGCTGACCAGCCAGGATCAGGGGGTCCTTCAATTGGGTTTGTGTCTCTGGTTGTGTATATTCATACCTTTCTTTAAAGGTAGGTTTTAGTTCTGCTTTATCTTATTCCCTTTTAAGCTACATGTATTTCTTCTTTTCTAGTTGTGCTTGAGATGAGATTTTTCATTTCATTTTCAGGGAGATGAACTATTCTATGGGTAAATGTGTAGAGGGTCTTCACAGGAGTAAACTACTGTTATGACTGCTATTTTATTTTATTGGTTAGGTAAGATGAGATTTTTGGGGTAGGGAAGACAATGAAACATTGTAAACCAAATTTTATTTCCCCAATTAAAATATGGTATAATAATAATGATAGTTTTCTATCCTCTGCTGTGCATGTATTATACTTGTTTATTTGTATTTATTTTTAATGTTTTTTCAAAACTGTGATTTATTTGTTAGCTATACGATTACTTAGCCTTCCATTTGGTAGATGATCACCTTTGCTGTGGGAAACATGTCATATCACGACGATGATCTCCTAATAGTGAAATCATGCCTTTTAAAAGTTAAGACTTAGAAATGGACAAATGCTTGATTCTGCTGAACAAAATCAAATTTCCATGTGCTGTTGCTTTGTAGGGAACTTGCTCTTCAAGCTCCTGGAGTTTTATCTAATATGCCTCAAAAGGGAAAAAAGTCTCAAAGCTGGGGGAGAGGGATGGGTAATGGGAAGGATGTTTTTTATTGTCTGTTTTATGTAGAAATATTTCTATCATTATAAATTATGACAGCAAGAATGATAGTTTACATTTAAAACTATGCTTTCCTGCTGAAATCTCAGTGTTTCCAAATGCAGCTGTCATACAACTCTTTTTATTTTGGAATATAACAGCTATCCTTTTGTTCATTTTTGCCTAATGAGTTCTTCAATTCCTTCAATTTTTTTTTGTCTTCCAGGGTATAAATCCCTTTAGAAATTTTGCAGAATAATATATCAGGTGTCAAAGTTGAATTCTGTAAGGGACATTATTAGAGGGGTGTTAATGAAATGAATTATGTCAAATGAGGACAAATAACATACTTTTAATGAATTCTTGGAAAAATACAAAGATATGCATTCAACTATTGTCCAAAATATAATGACTGAAAATGCTGTTATATACTAACCAACATGGAGTTCTTTTAAAAATATTTTGAGTAAATTTGCCTTAAAATCTTGCTTTTCTCACCAATCTCCAAAGCAAGTGAACTCAAAATCATGTTAAAAAGGAATGTCATTAAGACCTTAATGAAATGGCCAGTTACCTCAGTTTGTCTGGTGAGGCTCCCCAGCTGAAAACTCGGAGAGCTGTGGAAACAGGTCAGTGGGTAAGTATTTTGACAAGAAAGGGCAGGACTTTTCCTTAATCACTGGATCAGTAAGTCAGTGACATAAGTAAAAATTGGAGCTCATCCTAGCCCTTTACATTTGTGGTGCCTAAGACTTTGTTTTGTAGAATTTTTTTTTTCGTGTGTGTGTTTTATTCAAGTGTAGTTGATTTGCAATATTATATGTGGTGCCCAGGACTTTTAAGGACTCTCTTATTGACATTATTTTATTTGATGTCCCACTAGTCCTGAGAGGTAAGCATTACTCTTTATCTTCGAAGCAAAGGTGACCAGCCCAGGCCTCTACAAAGGTGAGAGAGGCAGAAGCCGGGTGCTCAATAGGCTTGGACACCCCGCCTCCTGAGTCGCCTGCTGAAGGAAGCTTCCAGAACCTCCCACCTGCCAGCACCCCCTCTGCTTTTCTAACTCTTCCCTCTGTTTGGCTCTGCAGGCTCTGCAGGCTGTGCATCTGAGGAGAGGCTCTTTCACACACTGTTTTCTCATTATAACCAGCTCATCAGGCCCGTGGAAAATGTTTCGGATCCTGTCACGGTGCACTTTGAAGTGGCCATCACACAGCTGGCCAATGTGGTGAGTGCCGCCAGGTGACCACATGGGCCTGGAGGACCCCAACTCGGAGGTGGTCAGAGCAGTTCCAGGTCACTGCCGCAGTTACTGCACAGAGAATACAAAGGGAGCTAACTTCATTGAGCATGTATTATGCACCAGACACTCTGTGTACTGTTAGTGGTTATCACCTGTGTTTTACAGCTGAGGAGATGGAAGCTGTAACTTCTCCAAGGCCATACAATTTTAAAATGCTGGAACTGAGATATATAAGTCAGGCTTGTTAACTCCAGAGCTCATGCTGTTTTTATTCCCTTGAAAAAGAATGGCTTTAAGCCTGCTATGTTATGGAAGTAATAAAAAATTCACCTTCTTTCATATAGAGTTCCATCCAGCCCTGAAAAAAACATGGGAATTTGGAGCTCTTATTTTAATTTATTGCTAACAGGTTCAAGTAGGAACAGATTCCTTTCCTTTGAATAATCTCCATGCCCTGGTTGCTGGGAGAGGACGGAGTGGGGCCTGTGACTATGACGTAGAGCAGGGTCCTGGGCTCCAGGGCGTGAGGCAGGGCAGGGCTGGCCGCAGGCGCAGGAGGGGCTCAGACCCAGTGCCAGGACTAGCCGGGCTCAGGAGGCAAGGGAAGTCTAGGGCATCTCCGGAGAGGGGAGGGACAGCAGGGCATGGAAGGAGGGGCCCCTGTCGTCACGCCAGTCCCAGCCCAGGGGTGGGGAAGGAGCCCTCCTGCCTCCCAGGCTTTGCTGGGGGAAACAGTGGCGGCCATTTAGGTCACTTGGGGAAAAGCATTGATGGCAGGTACGAAGGCAATATTTCTCTAGTCATGCTTCCTAGGGGACTAGGCCGACCCTGGCCTGCTCCTCTAGCTTCTGGCCTCAGCTGGAAGCTTGTATACACATTTTGATTTAAAAAAAAGTGCCAAATGTTTTCTTTTGTGTAGCTGGGCCCACTCATTCCTTTAGCAAGTATTTATTTAATACCTATTCTGATTCCAGTCTCTCTTATTTCCTGCCTAATGGCTTAGTACTAGTTACTGGTTTCTAACTGGGCTGGAAGCCCTAACTTGCTATAGATTGGATTGTTCTGGATGGAGAACTAAACTGAGTCTCACCTGAAGTCTATGATGACCATCTCACCATACAGCATCACTTCAAATCCCTGGTTCATGTCCTTCCAGGACATTGTTCTGAAGAAGGTGGATGGGGAGCTGATTTTGACATTTGCATTTGACTCCTATCAGAAATTAAAAAAAAAAACACAGAGTAAATAAAACAAGTTTATTCCTGTCTTATGTAACAGAAATCTAAAGGTTAACAGTCCAGGAGGGTAACACCATTTGGCTTCACCGTGTCAGTGGTTGCACCGCTGTCTGGTTGCCCAGGGGATGTCAATCACATAGACTATGACGCTTCAGGCAGAAGCCCTACCTGGTGACAGTGACCAGGTTCCTTCCATCTTTCTATTTCACCATCCTTAGTATGTGGTTTCTCAGTGTTGCCTCATGTCCCAAGATAACAGCTGACTTTCTCTTATCATATTCACATTCTTGGCAAGGAGCAGAAAAGAGGCAGATAACAGACATCTGTAACTTCCTTTAAGAGTTTTCTAAGAAGTCCTACTGACCTCTTCTGCCTCCTCTGTCATTGGCACTGCTAGCTGCAAGGGAGACTTGAGAAACATAGGTTTTCAAATTGGAATTTTATTTATTGAAGCAATTATAGATCTGCATGTGGTTGGAAGAAACAATAGAGAGACCCCCCTACTGTACACTTTGCCCAGTTTCCCCAGTGGCAACCATTCATCTGTTGTCCATCTATGAAATTCTGTCATTTCAGGTAATTATATGCAAGTGGAATGATGTAGTATGTAACTTTGTGGGACTGGCTGTCTCATGCATCATACTTCCATAGCAATTCATCCAAGTTGTTGATTGTAGCAACAGCTCATTTCATCCTGTTGCTGAGTAGCATTCCACGGTATTTATGCACCACAGTTTGTTTAACCTTTTGCTGGCTGAAGAACATCTGGGCTGATTCCAGTTTTGGTCTATTACCAATAAAGCTGCTATAAACATTCATGTACAGGTTTTTGTGTGAACATTAATATTTATTTCTCTGGGATAAATCTCCAGGTGTGTACCTGCTGGGTCATATGGTAGTTGCACATTTAGTTTTTAAAGAAACTGCCAAAATGCTTTCCAGAGTGGCTGTACGCTTTTCCATTCCAACCAATAATATGTGCATGATCATGCTTATCCACACCTTCACCAGCATTTGGTGTTGACACTATTTTTTTATTTAGCCATTCTAATAGTCTGTGATGACATTTCATCATAGTCTTAATTTGCATTTCTTTAATGACTAATAACGTAGGACATCTTTTCATGTGCTTGCTCCCACCTGCATATCCTCTTTGGTGCAATGTTTGTTCATGTCCTTTTGCCCATTTTCTAATTGGATTGTTCAAGTTTCTTTCATGTGGTTTGCAAATTTTTTTTTTTGAGAGGGCATCTCTCATATTTATTGATCAAATGGTTGTTAACAACAATAAAATTCTGTATAGGGGAGTCAATGCTCAATGCACAATCATTAATCCATCTCAAGCCTA